ATAATCCGTAATCGGCGTTGGGTTCTGCGACGGCCGGCGAAGGTTGCACGGTGTTCTGGGTTGCCTCGACAACGGCCAGAGACGGCGGTGCAGATGGCTGGGTTGCATCGACGACGGCCGCGATCGCTGGAGGAACTGCGGGAGCGGGTGTGACGACGATCGGAGACGGCTTCGGAGGCGCCGGAGGTGGTTCGACGACGGCTGGGATGGACGGTGGAACCACGGGGGCAGGTTCCGGCACGACTGGCGTAGCTGGTGAGACCACAGCCACCTGCTCCACATCTTTCTGCACCGGCTTCTTCCTAAACGTTGGGGTTGGCAGACTGCGTGGACTATTACTTTTTGAGCATACAGCCCAACAGTACACCACACACCGTCAACAGTAAGATACCGCCGACACCTGAAGAAATGTATCAAAAGTATGAAAGAAAAGGTGTCTGACCAGCCCCAATTCCGATCAGCGTCTCAATCGATAGAGCGGCAGCTGTCGTGGTAGTGGTGATGAAAGTTGGTTCCGTTGGGGCTCCATAGCGATTCGTGCAGATTTTCTGGAAATAATTCGTTTTCAAAGGTATTCAACCCCCGAGGAATCATCAAAACTGCTCAGCGAGCATCTTACAGTGTCATTGGTTCCCTCGCATCGTGGCGGGTCGATGGCCAGTCCGCTGGTGTTGCCGTTTCGGAACTGGACGAAGATGTTCGTGTCGCAGTTCAGAAACTGGTCGTCCTTGACCCTCTGCAGATCCTCGCCCTAAAAAGGCACTATTTCCATCTGCAGACGTGGTGAAGCCACCGTCAGTCTGGCCACGTTGATGCATCGTGGGTATTGAATCTTCTCCGGGGTGTCATCTTGGCGGCGAGCACGACCCCTTTTCTCATCTGGCGACGAGAACGGCCGGATCTGGAAAAGATATTTCAGTGAGCCTGGCTGGGAGCAATCAAGAAATCCATGAGCTACATGGTATACAAAAAAAAGCAGATCACTATGATTCTTACCTCTCGCTTATGATGAAGAGAAGATACATTTTCCTCTGTGGAGTTATTTGTTGCCGTGTCCGAACTATCCGACGCATTCGAAGCAGCTGTTGATCCCTGACTGCTCTTCACGGCACCAATCATCAGATTCTCCGTTTCATCCATGAAAGTGGCGTACGGGCCGGACTGAAAACGGAAAACAGGTTTTACGGGACTTAATCAAACAAATAGCTTCTACTCTTTAAGTGTATCCTTTAGCTAGAACACACCAGTGCTCGCCGGGCTGGGAAATAGGGCATGGCTCCTCCGGGATTCGAGATATCCAGAAAGACACAGTCCTCGTCTGTGGCGGTGCCGAATTTGTATTCACAAGGCGTGTCGCAGTCCGGCGCAGTTTCAAACTCATCTGGGAATTGAGAAATTCTAAAACACATTAGCTACTCCGCGGTTCTCTCTTTACTACGGTTTTTTGCCGTTCTTGTCGCAGATTGGTAGTGGCGCACAGTCTCCGCCTTGAGGTCGTCCCCCTTTGGCGCAGTACTGAAAATCGCAACTGAAAACTGTTTCCCACTTTACGGTGTTGAGGTGCCTGGCTGCCTCCAGCCGCATGCACCGAGAAAACCATGTTACCGTAATTTCCTTGAAGTTGAGCACATCGTAAGGGTATTTAGTGAATGGTGAAAGGTCATCAACTGCGTATCCAGCTGCCATATGGAGACTCGGGACGCAAGTGTTTGCGGGGGGTTTGTCTTTCGACATAGATTTCGCAATTGCTTCGATGATCACTCTAAACCCCAATGTTCCTTTTTAGATATGCAGGTGACTGGCCTGGAAGCGTTTTTACTTCGGGTGGCTTTTTTTTTTGGAACGGGGCCGATCTATCTTGTGCAAAATGTTCCGTGTATTCCGAATCCGTTTCGCAAGATTGGTGCGGACTCTGGTTCTGTTACCACTACTTCTGTTACTTTGGTATTCCGACTGTTTTACTATGAATCCAGGTTGGCATAGAAATCAAATACAGTATTGCCTCTAATATACTTAATATAGCCCCCTCTCATATGCTTAATACTTTGTGGCTCTGCCAAAGCAAAAAAAACCAACTCGGGAACTGTGAAGCCGGCGTCCCATTGCACGAAGTGACTGGTGATTAAAGAAACTCCCACTGTCATATGACTTGATGCTCCTATATGGGTTTTTATTCGAGGTAGAACATGGACCCACCATGTCTTCTCTTCGCATTCTCTAGATCACCAGCATTTCCCAGGTGCACAGATTGAAGGGGAATAGGCTTTATCCATAAACCAGAGTTGGCTTCATGAGTTTTTAGCCTGGCCCGTCCCAGAACTATTAAGGTACTTTATTTTCCAAATTCTTGCCCATCTAACGAAAAAATTTAGCATTCATTCCCTTTTTATAAGCTATCCCGAATTCCGGCTGATGCAAATTCTCCCCTAGCAGAGACTGGTGCCATTATTTTTACAAAAATCTAATTTTAATATACAGTGTCCGATTTCGATGATCTCAGCATCTATCGGCATCTACTCCTCGAGGGCTATCGATTGGTGTTATAGGTGTTGTATGCAAATGTATGTATGCAGAGATATCTCGCTTGGGAAACTTTCACCTAATTTTCTACCAAAACTTCTGAGGTTTGTATTTTAGGGTACGTCAGTATTTGTTGCTTTGAGGGTGGTATTGTGATAGAGCATCCCGAGATCTACCAAACCATATACCAAGCTTTCAAGTCAGCCCGTTCTTGTGTGTTTTTCCAGCGGTTCAAACATTTTATTGCCATTACTTTCTTTCCAACCTGATAGTAGGATAGTTGGGTTTCTGGGGATCACGAATTATAGATACATTCCGCTCTCGTTCTGAAGCCCCGGTCAGTGGCGGGAATTTGGTTTTTCTGATCAAAATGCATACATTACCAAACTTACCAAAATTTCGCTGCTGATCAGGATTTCCAAACGAGCGAAATGTGCCTTTAAAGAATGACCGTATATTATTAGTACAGTATAGGAAAATGCAAAGCGGTCCCAGCCCCATTATAAAGGCTATATCAACCTCCTGAGGTATGATTTTGTTTTCTGAGTAAGATCGTTCCCGAAAATTTTTACAAGTATAAAATTTAATGTGAAAATAGCGCATTTTGTAATATCTGATACATGGGTGTGCAACCATCTCAGAGCCAGTACGCATCTAATGACGTATCATACATACCATCAAAATTATCCCTTAGCGTGATATCCTCCGGACAGGCAGACGAAGAAAATTGCATGCAAAGTAGCACTCACACCAACACTATTTTTATATATAGTAGGATACCTTTCCCATCGTTAATTGTTACGGGCAGGATGCAATCTGGCGCCCCGGATTCTTCCATGTATTCGGCCGTCTATAAATGGCTACGTTGGTTTCCAGAAGCTAGCATAGCTGACAAAGTGAAATACAGAGCTGTCCTTTTACCCACACAAAACTTTGGTTGACAGGCCATCGTCACACCCAGCCTTTCATCTCTATTCCGGCGCAATGTTAGACGCTGTGCAGATTGGGGCTTTGCAACAGGCAGGACGCATAGAACCTTCAGCCATTCGGGCGTCTCCATTCCCCCATTCGCCAGATGTTCGTAGGCGTAACAAAGAAAATGACGATGCGCCAAGCACTAAATTAACCATTCAAAATCAGGTAGCTTTGCAAACATTTTGGATTTCTTCATCACGTCGAGGTCCGGTGGTTGTTGTGGCTGAACAGGGTAGCCAAAGGAGTCCGTGAGGACGAAAGTGGCGCTTGACGGCTGCCAGATATTTCCATCACTGGAACAATTGAAGTAGAAATGCTAAAAAGCATAAAGTGGGAAAACCAGGAAAAAAATTAAACGTCACAAGAAACTATCCAAGAAGCTTACGGATTGGCGCTGCTGTTGCTGAAGCGAGGCGATAATCAGTAAGTGGACGATCAGCATCGTGTCCGTCAGGGACCGATGACCATCTCTCATCGACGGTTGAGTCGTCGAGGCCGAAATTCAGGATTGCCGAGTGAAATGAGAGTAGTTTCTCCGATTCGTGCTTGAGTTTCGAATGCTAATAGATTCTAATTTTCCCCCAATAAATTCTGATTCTCTGGATGTAAATCAGAAGTTTTCCATGATATGGCCGTCGTTTTTTCGAGAAGTTCATTTCCAGGTGATCCGGTGCTTTTGAGACAGTAAAGGACCAGCTTTGAATGGATTGACACGAATGCGAAGCACCACGGTTGACGCAACCGCAAGAGATAAAATATAACATAAATATTCGTGTTCTTCCCAAGATACAGGTCCGTAGGAGGCGGGGAGCTCCGGAACGGACTGATAGTTGCACCATTCGAAAGCCCTTCAAACTGCGGGTTTGCATCGATCTTCAAAACCATGTGTTTCTCCGAAAAGCCTCGTTTTACAAACCATTACATCAGGCCCGTACAGGAGCCAGATTTCGTGGGGGAGGGCAGGGACGACAACAGTACCGCATTTCACCATTTGACACCTTCACTTGCAAAATAAAACTTTCCATCGATTGATACCTTCTCCCGGCGGTGTACTGAAATAGAGGCCCGGATACCTTCCGCCGACATCGATACCTTCTCCCGGCACGGATAGCTTCTACCGCCATTCGTACCTTCTCCCGGCATTGATACCCTCTACAGGCACGGGGATACCTTCCCGCGGTACGGATTACCATCTACCAGTACAGAACCGATTTTTTTCACCATTTATCCCAGAAAACGTTCGATGGCATTGGCCATGTAGGAAGATATATAGCAAATACAAAATTCGGCGGTGTTGATCCGTAATTTTTCTTGATCAATCAGTGTAGTTGGTGGCGTGGTCAGTGTTGGTTGGTCTCTCATTTCGTTCCGTCCTTCTGCGCTTGCGGCTTTCCCCTCACCGTGGCACTCTGCAAAAATAACATCACGTTTATAGCAAGCCTTGCTTAGCTAGCCGATAACGCACCTCAGGCGGCGTCGGGTAATCGTCAACCTTCCATCCCTCACGCAGCTTCTCGTCGAATTCCTCTTGCGCTGGAACAACACGGATACATCGGGAAAGGATGGTTTGCCCCGTTATCTATAAACCCTACGCACTTTCGATCTTGTCGTCCATACTGACGATGAAGATCGGCGCGATACCATTTGCTGCGGATCGACGAGAGAACGGCGCCCAGGGTTTTCTAAAGTGATGCTTTCTTAGTTTGCACTGCGAAGGAGCCGTACAGGCCCAAGATTAGCGGCATGAAGTCCCTAAGCAACGCGGGACTCCTATCGACTCAAAAATGTATACGGCAAAAACTTCAAGGCTTATAACTTTAAAACTAAAGCGAAACTTGAAAAGGTAATTTCCAGCTTTGTACAATGGAACACGGCGATTCTATCACCACCATTCACTGGTGTAAGAACACTGAATTCGAAATTATAAAAGCGAAAGTGACGCAAAAGTGGCGTTTCTCGCTCAAAAATTTTAAGACTGGACTAGCTGGAAGTTTCCACATCGGAAATTACCTTGTCTCCGTGGAACGACGATATGAAGACGGTGGCCACCGGCATGTTGGCAAATCGGCGCACACCATTTGTCATCATCTAGGAAAAGTTCGTATGAGATGGACGATGTAGTAGGTGCTAAAGGTTCTAACCAAAAGTTTCCTGACGCACCCTTTATGAAACATAACAAACAGCGGATGTTTTTGCTCAAGAACCGTTTTTCGTTAAATAGAGAAGCCCCGATCTCGCGAGATCCGCGAGAAAAGCGGTATTTTTCCGTCACTCATACCTGGTGGCTTCGGAGGACGAATTCGACGTCGAGCCGATCCATGGCTTCTTTGATGCCCTTCGGGCCCCAGAACATGCCGTGTTTTCGCGTGGGATTGGGCTCGTAACTAAACGCCCGTTCATCCATTTTGGTCTGAGGCGGTCCCCCACGCGGCTCTTTTTTGGCCCTTACCCAATTATCTAATTTGATGGAGCTTCAGACCACGAACAACTCCAGCTTTCAGTAATCATCATATTTTCGCATCACGATAAAAACAGCCAAAGCGTAGATAACAATTCTTCCTTGTACTACTTACTACTACTATTTTTTTACTACTTAATTTTACTCTACTTTCTTTAACAACTTACAATTCTACTTTTTCTGATGGATCGTTCCAACGCAGATGCTTGCTCATGGTATCGTAAGCCTTCAGCTTCGGATCCCAACCAACTTGAAGCATCTCTTTGGTCAGCTCCATCGCTAGAACCAATATCGGTAAGTGGGCTCGAAGGAAGCCGTATGGATCCTACAGGGTGGGGCGATTCCCGGTCACACTACCGAAATTTTTCGTACCGAAAACCACTTTACGGAAAGTCATTCTATCGAAAGGTCATTTTACCGAAAAGTCGTGTTACCGAACAGTCGTTTTACCGAAAAACCTCCCGAAAATCGTTAACTCGTTAACTCTCTTTCCTGGCATACCAATATCGTTTCATCGGAAGAATACTGTCGGAGATTATTTTAACCGGAACATTCAGGGATTTACACCGATTTGTTCATTAACTTTATTCTTATTCAATTAGCTATTTTTCGGTAGAACCACTTTTCGGTAAAACGGCGCCCGGTAAAGTGACTTTCGGTAAAGCTACTTTTCTGGTGACTGACCTGCGCCCGGGTGAGGCCTATATATCGAAACCCGGCGGGCCATGAAATTTTGCATACTAGCAGAAAACAGAAACAGTTTTGGGGGATTGTGGATATATACCATCACTATATATAAATTTCTAATGTCCGTGAGCCCGCTCGCCCGCCCGCCGTCCGTCCTCGCTGCGTGACAAGCGTCATTTGTTGTAGCGCGGAACGGACGGTCGGGTTTGCGCAGATCTCAGCCCCACGACGGGTTCGAACCTGTATGGGCCTAGAACCGTCCCGTTAGAGGATTAAAATTTCCGGACGGTCTCGAAAGCGTAGGGGACCCAAGCCGCACCGCCAGGGATTAAAAGGATTGGATGCGTCATAGCCCCCAAGATGAATGAACCCATATCAAATAAAGGAAAATTGGCTGTTATCGCTACTAAAATTAGTTTTTGTAAGATCACAAACAAACACGTTGTTAGATGGCAGATTGCATACGCCGCAAGTGGGGAAGCCTATACTGGGTGTCCCAAAAAATCACCCCCTCTAGCGGTCCGTGGGAAGCTCAGATCAGGACGATTTTTATACCATTCAGAAAGCCCGCGAAAAGGCGAGAAAACAAGCGGGCTTCATTTTCTAAGACTTCTTCTGATTCGTCCGATGATCAGCGTTTTTCTAAAAAAACAGGTCGCTTTTCAATAGAATTTCGCCATTAGCATGCGGATCTCGCGTAAATCTGCCGTTTGCATGGATTTTGGAGGTAAAATTCGCCAATAAAAATACATAATCAAGAAAATGAACTCTCCTTGTTTTCTCGCCTTTTCGAGAGCTTTCGATAGATACCTAAACGGCGAGAATCGGATACGTCTGCGCGCCGCTAGAGGGTCGTGCTTTCTTTTGGTACACCCTGTATATGGGGACAGGGCGGTGATTTTTTTTTATTTTTCACGCGGGATTCGGACGGAAATGTGCAAATCTTGGACGGTTATTGGACGGTTAGACGGGGTCAAGGTGGAAAAGCCGGGAAGCGCTTCCTCAGCCCGGATTGCTTTTTGAAAAGACACTAAAAGCCAACTGGCCCTTAAGCTAGCGACCGAGCGGTTTTTAATCGAATACAACATTACATATCATGCCGTGCATGCAGAGAATTCGGCCATCAATCAGCCCAACGACAGGCAGTCTGTCAAAGACCCCAAATATCCAATCGATCGCGTCGGCTTTTCTTCGCTTTTGTTCTTCTGTGTTTTCTTGGGTTTCTTCTTGCGTTTGCGCTTCGCGGTACCCGCGCTTAATAACATCGGCTTGGAAAGTAGTGTAGTCGTCGTTGTCTTCATGATTACCACGGACGATGAACACCTAAATGATACTCATACTCACCAACTCACCAACGAAAAAACGGTCTTGCCAAACTCAGTTTTGTTTTTTTGGATTGTTTAATACTAAAAATTTGGCCAAAATTCGGGTAAACGGCAAATAAAGTTTTTTGGTCCTGGTTCGTTAGCGGGGGGACATTGTTTTGTCAAAAATGTCGCTTACCTTAAAGGTACACTCCGTTCTCGTTCTCAAACCTTAATTGGCGGACAGAATTGTGGTGGTCCGGCGGCGGTTCAATAGGCAAGGGGGATTTAGGACGGGGCCGGGGGGCCACCACAAAATTCTGCATAAATCGGTTCATTTACGCTCGGTTTCCCGCCTATAATCCGATTTTTTTCCGAAACGATCGATCGGTTTCGAAGTAAAAACCGATTTTTCAAGAACCGATCAAATCGGATTCGATTCAAACCGGTTTTTATGCAGAATCGATCAATCGGATGCAATGGAAAAACCGATCTACTATAATAATTTTCTTGAGCTGTCTTTCTGTCCGTCATGTCCCGGATTCACCTCGAAGGGGAAAGGAGCTAGAGCTTAGGCCTCTTCGGATTCGGATAGAGCGCCGTCAGAAACCCCAAACTGATAAAAAATTATGAAAAAGTTTTCGTTTAAATTAATAAATTTAACTTTGAAAGTTTTCCTTAGTAAAAGGAGTGGGGGACATAGTGAGCCAGGTCGCGCGCGTTTCGGCGAAGTGGAGGGAGCGCACAGGGGGTAGCCCGAAGTCCAGCCGCTTGCAGCGGCAAAGCCGCTGTAAGCGGCTAGTTTCAATACAATCCGGTCAATCCAAGCATTGCTTTCAATCCGAGCGATCGGAAACCGGTTTCCTCATATACCAACCCTACGGTCGACTTTTATGCTTTTCCAAATATCGGTTAAGCTTCGAAAGTTTAAAAGTCTTTTTTTATTATTTTTTGGCTGTTTCACTAGGGTTGAACCAGATGGTTACAGTCGCTTCGCACTGCAAACCCATCTGGCCTTCGACTACCCTAAATGTCTCACTCCACCACATCCTTTCCCACCTCCATCAATACCCCCCATAGCCGAAATCTCGTTCAAAAACTACCTAAATGCCTTCCTGATGGCTGCAGATACCCCCATGGCTGAAATCCCCTTAAAAAACTACCTAAATACCTTCCTGATGGCTTCAGATTGCTCCCCTAGCCGAAATCCCCTTCAAAAACTACCTAAATACCCTCCTGATGGCTTCAGATACCCCCCATGGCTGAAACCCCCTTCAAAAACTACCTAAATACCTTGCTGATGGCTTCAGATACCCCCATGGCTGAAACCCCTTCAAAAACTACCTAAATACCCTCCTGATGGCTTCAGATACCCCTCATGGCTGAAACCCCTTCAAAAACTACCTAAATACCCTCCTGATGGCTTCAGATACCCCCATGGCTGAAACCCCCTTCAAAACTACCTAAATACCCTCCTGATGGCTTCAGATACCCCACATGGCTGAAACCCCTTCAAAAACTACCTAAATACCTTGCTGATGGCTTCAGATACCCCCATGGCTGAAACCCCCTTCAAAAACTACCTAAATACCCTCCTGATGGCTTCAGATACCCCACATGGCTGAAACCCCTTCAAAAACTACCTAAATACCTTGCTCATAGCTTCAGATACCCCCATGGCTGAAACCCCCTTCAAAAACTACCTAAATACCTTCCTGATGGCTTTAGATACCTCCCCTAGGCGAATGCCCCTTAAAACTAAAATAACGACCGACCGGATAGCGGGAGAAGGAAATAGAAATGAAATGGCTCCCGTAAAATTTTCATCCAGGGAACGCACGCCACCTGGCTCACTATGTACAAAATCACCCCCAACCCCTCCATCCCCTCCCCTTTTACTAAGGGAAAAACTTTCAAAGTTAATTTTAATAATTTAAATTAAAACTTTTTCATAATTTTTTATCAGTTTGGGGGTTTCGAGCACGCTCTATCCGAATCCGAAGAGAGCTAAGCTCTAGCTCCTTTCCCCTTCGAGTTGAATTCGGCTTCACACAGACGGACAGACGGACGCGTCAAGAAAATTATTATAGTTGATCGTCGTCCTCGCACTTTCACTCTTTATTACGGAATTGCTGCGCCATAAGAAACTAATCATACTGACTCTCGACGGGCTTCGCTTATACTTCCGAAAATCTGATTCCCGAAAATCCGTTTCCCGAAAATCCGATTCCCGAAAATAGAATTCCCGGAAATCTGAATCCCGAAAATCCGAATCCCGAAAATCCGGTTCCCGAAAATTCGTTTCCCGAAAATCTGTTTCCCGAAAAATCTGCTGAAGAATCTGCGGTTTGTGAACTGAAAAAAACTGGGACAATTCAAATAGCGGGGGGGATTCAGACAGGGGCAATTCGCCTCAGCGCCCGCCCTGCTCTCTAGGCACCCCTCTGCCTATAGGCCATTCAATAAAGTTAATTTTTAACTTAGTTTTCTTCCAATTTGGCTTTTCAGGCGCGGTCTTTCCGGGGTTTGGATTCTCGGTTCTCGGATTTTTCGGGATTCAGATTTTCGGGACTCGAATTTTCGGAAAACGGATTTTCCGGATTCAGATTTTTCGGGAATCGGATTTTCGGAATCAGATTTTCGGGATTCGATTTTTCGGGATTCAGATTTTCGGTAATCAGATTTTCGGGAAACAGATTTTCGGGATTCTCATCGGAAATCCTCTCGACTGACCTCGCAGCGGGAAAGAATAACGTTAAAAACCATCGACAAAATATTTTGTAAAAACAACCCGCTAACGAACCAGAGCCGTTTTTCTATGGAAATAATGCAAAAATGCTCCAAAAACCCATACCTGGAATGGGTAGAGTGCTTTGTAGGTCAAAATCATGAGCAAGCATTCAAGTTGATGGTTGCCACGACCACCGATGATGTTGCCGAGGAAAATGATGCTGAAGAACATGACATCCATAGAAGCCATTAAAGTGCTACTTTTGGCCGGGCCCTCCGTCAACCACATCCAACAGCCAAGCATGGATGATACGCCAAAGCTCGCTCAACTGGCAACAAAATGGATAGTTGGCGCCAAAAAGGACACGCTGACCATTGAAATGCACCAACTTCATGTGAGCTTTCGCTTCAGTACTAAGTGGGTCTGATAGGGTCGGCGAAGGGAATTCCGAATATCGAATGAGGGAATTTGCTAAATGCAACGGAGCAAAAAGTGATGAGCCTTGAAACTTTTGCCTCAATTTTTCATTTGCTCTTATGAGGACGCGTATACCGGCTAAGTACTAAATCGTTCCTGGAATTCGAATTCGAAGTGGGTCTGTACAGTACTGGAATTTCGAATCCTGGAAAACAATTTTTTACGTTTTTGATGGCAATTTGTAAAAAACACCCGGTGCACCCGGTGCCCGCCGAATAGAAAGAGTAGGTGTTTCCCTGCGTAGCTGCCAACCTGCCATGTATTTCGAACCGGGTTTACCGGGCGTACTTTCCTAATTGCCGTTCTGATCAAAATGCATTTCAGTTACTTTTGTGTAGGGCACAAAGAGTACTTTCAGGTGGCATACTAGAATCAACCGTGATAACAAAAATTCGGTTAGACTCTTAGTATTCTACGCTCTATGGCGTTCAGAAGATCCCGAAAAAAATAGCGAAAATATGGCTGTGGCGGGTCGAGTAAACTCTTACCAAAATTTCTCGTGAAAAAGCCGACCCAAGCCCAGAACTGCCAGGACTTTTTGTAGAGCCTAATAGTTTCTGAAGCGAATAGTCAGGGGTTGGATTCCCTCGTCATGCGGAAATTTTGTTTTTTTTGCTGTAACTTTCTATTTTGCATTTACCAAAGTTCGTCAACAGTTTTTTGCTATTAGGCTTTGCCCTCTTTCAGACCCACTTATTTAGGAAAAGAAAGCTCATGTTAAATTGGTGCACTTCCCTAGCAAGTGCTGAACAAACAAAAAAAAATGCCCACATTTCCATCGAGGTCGCCGACGACAATCGTCCGCCCCTTCGGCCTGGCCACACCTTTCTCCCGCCTCAAAAAACGCAGGACGCCGTCGCATAAACACCAAATATCATCGGCGTCCGGGTTGTAGTACGGCTGCAACATTTTAAATTCAGCCTTCGTCGCGAATTTTGTTTGTAGCCATTGTACTTGTGTGAAGATTAACCGGAGCCGCACCCGGAGCGCCAGGGGCGTAGCTGAGTCCAAGTTTCGGGGAAGGGGGGGCAGCGGCATTTCGGAGGAGGGCAGCAACAACAATTTGCGACATTTGAGCGCCGCAGGCTTAAAAATGAATAAAAAGAATAAAAACAGCCTGCCCCCACTGCCCTTCCCCCCCCCCTACGCGACTGCGGAACGCTACGCGCCCCTCGGGCAACCCGATTTCGAAACCTTGTACGAGATCGCACCCAGCCGCAGCGACTAGGCCCCGGGTGGCACGAAGCCTTTTTCCAGTGGCTGAGCGGAAGAAGTTGCCGGCACTTTCCCTCGCAATTGAGTGACTTTTGTCGCAAACGCGACTTTCTACCGCGTTTATCACAAATCCGGGCTCGGCAAGAGTCTAGGACCCTCCTCAGCCGCCGATTGCGCGCATTTCTGCCCCTTTCCGCCTGCGCCCACTCCCGCCGGGGGAAGGCTTTTTCGCACGCAAGCCTCAATTTTTTTCGTACATAGCGGATGCGTTTTAAAATTGTTTGAACTATTCCTAACTGGGGAAGTGTAAACAAAAAACCCAGCAAATCGCTTAGCAAAGATATGGGTCTGGTACAGTCTGTGACGGGGATTCCGAAGCTGCAACCATCTGCTAAACGCTTAATACAACAAAGGTATGAGCGTTTTAATTTTTGCGGTGCTTTGGACGCGCTCCCTTATGAGCCTTTCCCAAAGAGGCGTGTCCGCATGCCGAGTGGCGTAGTGGTTTAAAAACGTGATTTCCACCCATGAACCTGGAGTGGAAGCCTAGCTTGTGACATTTTCGTCATTTTCACATGATTTGTCCAACGCCATTCGATAGAGCGTCAAAAAAAATACACGAAGCATTTTAATTCTAGCCCGGAATAGTGTAAAATATAGGCGAAAAATGCCAAATTTGCCCCCGGTTATATAAAATACGGGCTGTAGCGAAGAAAGTAGCATGCAAAGTGGCAAACGCAGAAACGATTTTTTAAAGATTTTTTCGAATTATTGACGTAGAACAACCGCAAGGTCGCGCCGCAATTTTCGCGGTACGGAGATGCGCAGATGTGAAAATGCGATGTTTTGTTGCGATGTGTTCTATCCTTTAGTGACGCAATTTCAAACCCAGCCAGCGGCGATTAGCCGGTTTTTGCTTCAACAACTCCCCCTACGAGTCCTTCAAGCCAAACTATCACTTCCATTTTCATTTTTAAGTATTGGAGTTGAAATCCTTACTTTTTCCTTGTCCGCGAAAAGACAATCGGGACTGCTGAACTTTGCGCGAAGACGCTCCGTCAAGCCAGCAAACGACCGGGGAACTTCTTCAAGAACAAAGTTGGTTTTTTTCTCTGGCTCGTCGGGCTGCTGCTGCTTCGATTTCCAGGCTTTCTGTAAAGAGATATCTATAATTTCCGTTTTTCTTTTCATTTCGTGATCGAAAATCTTTGAAAGCATTTGACAAAAAAAAAGAAAGCTTGGATCTATTTCGATCCTTGAGTTTCGCGGGCTGGGACCGATTTTTTCCCCATGGTTCGATAAAGAAAAAAATTCTGAGCAGGAAGCGGTTTTCAAAAAAAAAGCTAAACGAAAAACGTGTTTTAGAAAAGTTGATTTAATTATAAATGATCCCGGTAGCCAGACCTTCCGAAGGAGTTTTTGAGCGCACCACCAATAGACCACTGCAACCTGGGGGGGTTTGTGTTGGCCGGAAGGCTATGATTCGCGTGGCCGAGCCCCAAAAATGACGTGAACGGAGGAAATGGACACGAAAGCTAGCAAAAACGGCGAGATTATGTTTCTAAAACATCTTTTTCAATCAGCAGTTTTTGAAACTGTATCTTGCTCAAAATTTTGATTTCTCTATCGAATTAGCTAGGTTCCGTCCCGAAACTTAAAAAGCACAAAAAACGCCTAAAACGTCAAAAACATGACCGATGAACAACGGTGTCAAAAGTCTACGATGGCAATGAGAAAGAAAACCCCTCCCAAGCGAACCACACGGGGTCAGGATGGCGTCTTGAAATGGGACCTAACCTATCCTGTGAAGAATTTTTCACAGATTGCAAGTCTGTTTTCAATTTTCGCCAAATACCTCAATTACAGTAATTTCAGTAAAACCCACAAGCTTCTCGAGATCGACTCTCAGCGCAAAGCCGTGCTTCGCAAGATCGTAGCGGCCCGCCTGGCGTTCTAGCGCGCGTTGCTTCCCTTCCGTCTGAAAACGTAATGGAATTCTGGGCCGCGGCCGTGGCAGCTTAAGAGATGGCGGCTTATACAAAAAGGCGCCGACGGTATTTCGTCTTTCAGCTTCGTTCGATTTAAAAAGTTGTACAGCTCAGGTTTTGTTCAACCAGGGCTAAAAAGCTGCTTTGTGACTTTACCGACAGGCAAACCCTATGTTTTATATATAGTGACGAGATACGCTAGTTTCAGACCAGATTACCATCTTCTCCAAATGCTCCATGAGTCCCCCGTCAAGATTGGTGGTGATGAGCTTGTACTGGCCCTCGGCAAGGTCGACGATTTCCGATGGCGCCGTCTTCAGGGATAGTTCGTGAACCTTTGGAGTTGGCTCTGGCTTAGTCGCGGGTACCAAGACGACGGCTCGCGATGGAGGGACGGTGAGTTGCGTTGCATCGGCGGCGGCCAGAGACGGTCGGGCAGTGACCTGGGTTGCTTCAACGACGGCTGCGATGGCCGGAGGAACTACAGGAGCGGGTGTGACGACGATCGGAGACGGCTTTGGAGGAGCCGGAGGTGGTTCGACGGCGGCTGGGATGGACGGTGGGACCACGGGGGCAGGCTCCGGCACCACTGGGGTAGCTGCTGATACCATTGCCACTTTCTCCACATCTTTCTGCACCGGCTTCTTCCTAAACGTCCGGATTGGAAGACTCGGTGGACCATTACTTTTTGAGCATACATCCCAACAGTACACCACAAACCGTCAACAGTAAGATGCCGCCGACACCTGAAGAAAGGTATCATAAGTATGAAAGAAAAGGTGTCTGACCAGCCCCAATCCCGATCAACCTCTCAGTCGATAGAGCGGCAGCTGTCGTGGCAAGAGGGATGGGGGTCGTTTCCGTTGGGACTCCATGGCGATGCGTGCAGATTTTCTGGCAATAATTTCTTGTCAAAGATATCCAACTCCAAGAAATCAACAAAACAGATCCGAAACATCCTACAGTGTCATTAGCTCCCTCGCAAGGCGGCGGGTCGATGGCCAGTCCGCTGGTGTTGCCGTTTCGGAACTGGACAAAGATGTTCGTCTCGCAGTTCAGAAACTGGTCGCCCTTGACCCTCTGTTGATCCTCGTCCTAAAATGTTATTATTTTCATCGTCCGATTTTGTGAAGCTACTGCCAATTCGGCCACGTTGATGCATCGTGGGTATTGAATCTTCTCAGGGATGTCATCTTGGCGGCGAACACGATCGTTTTTCTCATCTTGCGACAAGAACGGCGAGACCTGAAAAAGACAACTCCGCGAGACGGGCTGGAAGCAATGTCATGAAGAAATCGATACGTTACATGGTATACAAAAAGAGCACGTGAATATCATTAGTACTTCTGGCTTATGGTGAAGAGAAGATACATTTTCCGGTCCTCCCTCTGTGGGGTTATTTGTTGTCGTTTCCGACGTCTCCGGAGCGTTCGGAGCCGCCGTTGATCCCTCACTGCTGGTCACGGCGCCAAGCATCAGGTTCTCCGTTTCATCCATGAAGAACGCGTACGGGCCCGACTGAAAACGGAAGAGAGGTTGTTCAAATAGGTCTTCGCCCTACAGGAACCTTCAAATATAACACACCAGTGCTCGACGGGCCGTGAAGTGGGGAACAACTCCTCCCGGATTCGAGATATCCAGGAATACACAGTTCTCGTATGTGGCGGCGCCGAATTGATATTGACATGGCTTGTCGCATTCCGAGGCTTTTTTAACAAGGCTTGTCTTGAACTCCGTTTCACTGAAAAAATTCCTGAATTCCTAATTATTAAAATTTTACGGGATTTTTCCGTCCTTGCCGCAGAGTGGCAGCGGCTCACATTTGTCAGCCTGCTTTCGCCCTCCCTTTCCACAGTACTAAAGATCACTCGCCGCACCCAGTATATAAACTACCGTAATGCTCAGTGGATCGGATGCATCGTAGGGGTAGCTGGTGAATGGTGAGAGATCAGTAGTGGCGTATCCGGCCGCCAGATGCAGACTTGGGACACAGGTAGGTTTGGGAGGGTCGGCCACGGGGGCATACTTCTTGATAGCGTCGATGAGAAGCCTAAAAAATACGAGTGCCCAGGAGTCTCGTAAGGCCCTATGATGGAATGTAAGCAATTTTTAAGGTACATAAAGAAACATCAAAACTTAACCTTAATTAAGAAGATAGTATATTTTCAAAAATCTCAAATCAATCCCCTACAGGGTGTCCCAAAAAAATTAATGATATAATAGAATAATAGGATGATTTTTATATGATTAAAAAGCTCTCGAGGGGGTGACCCTTGCGGCCCGACATTGGCGGCCGCCACACTTCGGCCGGTTCCCATAGTAAACGCTGGGCCGGAATTGTCGCAGCCGCAAATATCAGGGGCAGGGTAAGATTAAAGTAACCTACCGCATCACAGTAAGCGAAAACAACCCCACTGTGGAACTATAAATCCGGCATCGCATTGCACCAGGTATTCGTTCGTTAGCTCGAATCTGGCCGGAACATACGCCTCGGTGCTCCTATATTGCTGCGTGTATGAGAAATCATTACAAACGGGGTAACAGCCTGGATTATTAGCCCCCCCTGTACCAGCTCCTCACCGTAACCGTTTTTTATACTTCGCCGACCACTCGGGGTGGCGGGGGGGGGGTGGTAAGTAAGCTTCTGGCCAAAAAAAGTTACAGCTATAAGCAATGCGTTTTTAGAAGCCTTGAAACTTTGTATTTTTCAGCCGGCTTTAGCTTTTTACCCAGAGGGGTTTCGCGACTTTTCAAAACGGATACTGAATCAGCGAAAATTGGCTAAAGTCTAGGTCTGTTTCGAATTGTGCGCCTTGGGCGAAAATCTACCGTTGGGTGCAATTTGGTACTTTTGCGATGCCTAAAAATCGAGGGACCTGGCAAAGATTTTGAGGTACCCGAAGCATTAATACGACCTATGGCTACAAGGGAAAGGTTGTTTGGGTCAGGTGTCAAATCTTTCTGAAAATTGGCCAGTGGATAGGAAATTGAAAACGGAACAAGGTGCGCTAAATCGTTTTCTGCACAATACCCCTAATTAAAAAGTTATTAGCATTTTAAGTTTGTGGTCTGAAAAATGAGTTCTGCGCAGGCTTTTGCACCAATACCGCACCGTTTCCACATTTTCTTGATGCGTGATGCCTTGACCCTCTCTCGTCTCGGCTTCCCACGTCTCTTGTAGCGCAATCGGTAGTGCGCTTGACTCACAAACTTTTGAAAAATTTTTGGCAAAAGTTCGAGACTAAAACTTTCTATCTTTTGCTTTTGCTTTTTGCTCTGGCAAATTAGGGTTAGTTGGCGTAAAATCCAAAAAGCAAAAAGTTGAACGCATCAAAGACTTGAACTCGATTACAAAAATTTAAAAAGTTTGGCACTCTACGGCACTACCTACTGCGCCACACAGCTTGCCAGTCCGAGCGACGCAAGAGCTTGAAAAGGGGGCAGGCCACAATGAGGACCAGATCAGAATTGTCGGGTCGTTTCATGCTTTTTTATGTAACTTCAAAGACCTATAACTTTTTAATTTGAGGTATTGTGCAAAAAATGAGATTAAGAAACTCCACTTTATTTTTGATTTTCTATCCACTGGCAAAGTTTCAAGTCGATTTGACACCTGACCCAAACAACCTTCCCTTGTCAGGAGCTGGTGCTTGGCTGGGGAGCGTATACTGGACTTTAGTCACAAACAGACCCACCATGCTTTCCCTTCGCATTTTCCTGATGCCAACCATTCCCGCGTGCATAGATTGAAGGGGAACATGACTTTATCTATAAATGTTCACGATTCACTGAGTAAGAAGTAATACCTTTGCCGTCGTTAATCGTTACAGGCAGGATGCAACCTGGTGCCCCGGATTCCTCCTTGTATTCTGCCGTCTATAAATGACTACGGTGCTTTCCGGACAGCAAGGTTAGGAAATTGAAATCGATCTGATTTCGTTGCACCCACACAAAACTTTGGTTGACATGCTTTCGACACGCTCAGCCGTTGATCATCTTCCTGCGCCGTGCCAGACGCCGCGCAGATCGGGGCTTTGCAGGCAGGACATAGAATTTGCACCCATTCTGGCATCACCATTCCTTCATTTGCCAGATGTTCGTAGGCGTAACAAAGGAAATGACGATGCGCACGGCACTAAATTACGCGGCTAAATTGCGGTATCCGGTCACTAAACGGATTTTGGATTTTTATATGCCAAAATGCTCAGCAGGTCGAGCTGATTCAGGATCAGTTGAAAAAACGTGGCGGCAACGCTTCTAGCACGAGATATGACACTTCAAAGTTGGCTACTGAAGTATCCGGTCACTAAACGGATTTCGGATTTTTATATGTCAAAATGCTCAGCAGGTCGAGCTGGTTCAGGATCAGTTGAAAAAAATTGGCGGAAAAATCGCTATAACGAGATATATAGCTTACAAGGTCTCAAAACCGGGCGACAGATAGTACACAATACACCTATATACGCCAGCTGTACATCGGAAAGTAACGGAATGGTCATTTTTCATGCTACTAGAGATCACAAGTGCTCGATAAGAGCTTAGCGTTACTCCACTCTACACTCAGTTTCAGCCTAAAAATAAGGCTTCGTGCCACCGGGGGCCTAGTCGCTTCGGATGGGCGCGAGCTCGTACAGGGTTTCGAAATCGGGGCGCCCGAGGCGCGCGTAGCGGCCAGGCGCCCCGATTTCGAAAGAGTGGAGCGGCAGCCCATCCGAAGCGACGGCCCACCTTGCCTGTCAATGTTTTTTTACCCAAGAAACAGCAATTCCCCACCATTCCGTTCTTTCCCGATGTACAGTTGGCGTATCTAGGTGTATTGTGTACTACGTGTCGGCCTGTTTTGAGAACTTGTAAGCTATATATCTCGTGATAGCGATATTTCCGCCAAGTTTTTTCAACTGATCCTGACTCAGCTCGACCTGCTGAGCATTTTGACATATAAAAATCCGAAATCCGTTTAGTGACCGGATACTTCAGTAGTCAACTTTGAAGTGTCATATCTCGAGATAGAAGCGTTGCCGCCAAGTTTTTTCAACTGATCCTGAACCAGCTCGACCTGCTGAGCATTTTGGCATATAAAAATCCAAAATCCGTTTAGTGACCGGATACAGCAATTTTCCCAATTACGCATTAAAAACTAGGTAGCTTTGCAAACATTTTGGATTTCTTCATCACGTCGGGTCCGGTGGTGGTTGTCGCTGTACAGGGAAGATGAGAAGTCATTGAAGTCGAAAGTGGCGCTTGGCGGCTGCCGAATATTTCCATCACTGGAAGAATTGAAGTAGGAAAGTAAAGCAAAGTGGACGCCAAGGAACCATCAAAGTAGATGAAAAACTCTTGAAAGACGCGTGACTATCCAAAAAACTGACGGATCGCCGCGGCTGTTGCTGAAGAAGACGATAATCAGTAAGTAGACGATCAGCATCGTGTCCGTCAGGAACCGATGACGACGCCTCATCGACGGTCGAGTAGGCGAGGCCGAAATTGTTGGGGTGTCGAGTGGAATGAAATTGGTTTCTCCGAAACCGAGCTCGGAGTTCCAATGCAAATAATTTATAATTTTCCTGATGCAAATCAATGTTTTCCGATATTGATCCTGCCTTCGCCGTCAAGTTATTTCACCAAATTCAGGGTCTGCTTCGTATATTTTAATGTGCCAATTGATTCTAAGTAGCATACTGGGTAGAGAATCGGGGTTAGCGGGCGTAGCCCGCTAACTTTATTTTGATTCGTGCATTTTACTAATGTGTCAGTAGCTCTAAACTGCCGCTTAATGGTGTGTGAATAAACTATTTTTCACCATGCACAATGCACCATACGAAATCGCCAATTTTTTCAGTTTTCGCAAAATTTGAGTTAAGGGCCTCATTTTACAGAGCAAAAATTGTTGCATACGTTTTTAGAAGATCCGGGACGATTAAAATAATGGCCCTTGAGTTGGGAAAATTTGGGCAGAATGATTTAAAATTGCTGTAACTTTTTAAATCGGGGTATTTAGCTAAAATTGAAAATATGTTTGGAATCAACAAAAAATTCTGCAGAAGGCAGGCTCGGTGCCTATGCAAAAGGATTTTGTCACCCAAAAGTGTTAAAGGGATTCCTCTTCGATAGCCGCCTGCCCAAAATCAGGGCACCGTTTTTCCACCGTTTATCCCAAAAAATCAATGACATTGGTCATGAAAGAAAATACAGGGTGATGCGATATGGGCGGTGTTTGCGTGTAGCTTTTTGGATCAGTCAGTGTCGTCGGTTGTTTCGTCAAGTTTCATAGGTGTCCGTTCTTCTGCGTTTACTTTTTCTCTCCCTTCACCGTGATGTCCTGCAAAGCAAAGCATCGTTGGGTCTTAGAAACGTCCGGGGGATCGAATAGACGACTCACGTCGGGGATGACCGCATAATCATCGACTTTCCAGCCCTCACGCAGTTTTTCGTCGAATTCCTCTTGCGCTGAAACAACATTGATATCGTATTTTCCGAAACCTGGCCCGCTTTCTAATATTAGAAGCGCCCACGCCCTGACTTTTGTGTATGGGACTTTTGAGGAGTTAGAGGGACGCGAAGAGTATTAAGATAAAGCGCTCGAAATGGTTTTGGATCGAGTGGTACGGAATATCGACCCGCCGCATCAACCGGCAGAATCGGTGCGATCCACAATCGTAAATTACATTTCTTGTTCATTATGCCCAGAATATTTAAGGGTTCTTGTGTATTCCCGGGGAAAGAATTCGCGGGGGGGGAACTGAACTTTTTTTTGGCCCAAGCCTAGATTTTTTATCTAAATAGTGGAAGTGTTTCTAAATTGTTTATAGCTATTCCTAAACATAAAAAATTTACAAAATTTAATTAAAAAATCTCTGATTTTAGGTCGAGAAAAATCGATTTTTCGGTCCAAAAATGACCAAATTCCACGACTTCAAGCGTTGCTCTAACTTTTAAAAGTTTTTTTCCGATTCAAATAGGCTTAAATTTTGCTAAAAACAACAATGTAAAAACACTTTCTATTTGATTGCCACTATCCCCACCAGGCCCGACAAAAAAAAAAAGTTGGTTTCCCCCGCGAATTCTTTCCCGGGAGGATACTACAAGACACCTATTTAAGTATTCTAGCATCGTAACGATGCCACGATTCGCTGCGGTTGGCGAGATATTGGTGGCCCAAATTTTTTTCAGCTTTTTCCTGGGCACCATGTTGGGTTTCCCTGCTGTCTAGGACCCCTACGCACTCTCGATGCTGTCCTTGTGGTTCACGATGAAGATCGGCACGATCTCGTTTTTCACAGGATTGACGAAGAGAACGGCGCCGAAATTCTCCTAAAATGAAGCGTAGCTTTCTTTTGGGCGAGGTACATGCAACTAAAATTATGGCCACTTCTACATATTTCCAGCGAAAACTAGTTAGAAACGATCTAGCAGAAAAATGCTTGGTAGTGAGAGTAAGGTTCGAAAAGCCGAAAACTTCGTGATTTTGGATCGAACCAATTTAATTTTAATTTTTTGATCGTTTAGGTTTAGTAATTGCTGAAATTGCTTCCTCCTTGCAAATGCAAAAAGTCTAAAATGGCCTTACCGCGTTTAGGTAGTACGACGACGAGAAGACGGTGGCCAACGGGAGGTTGGTAAATCGGCGCACGCCGTTCGTCATCGCCTAGTGACAGGTGCCTGGCATGGTGACCCACTCAGAATTGGCTAGCATTTGCACGCTGATCGAAACAACCGCGCTGATCATCAGCTCGTTTTCGAAACTTGCTACAGTTCCTTAAGACTCGAGATGTTTCACCATGAAAGTAATCCTACTATATTTAAAAAAAATAGTGCCTGTGTGTCGATATGCATGCAACTTCCGACTGTTTGTCGGGAGGATAACTCGATAAGGGAGTGGTTTTAAGGTATGTACCCCAAAAAAGTACCCCATCTAGCGGCGCAGAGGAAGCTCGGATCGGGCTGATTTTTACACCATTCGAAAGCCCTCGAAAAAACGGGAAAAGGAACGGTTTTCGTTTTTTAAGACTTCAGCTGATTTCATCAACATTCAACGTTTTTCAAAAAAAGAGGGTAAATTTTCAACAGGAATTTTGCAATTAGCATGCAAATCTTGTGTAATAAATTAGTGGTTTTCATGGTTTTTGGACGTAAAGTGCGCAAATAAAAATACATAATAAAGAAAATGAGCCCTCCCTGTTTTCTCGCCTTTTTGAGAGCTTTCGATAGATACCTAATCGTGACATTCTGACACGACTGCGCGCCGCTAGAGGGGGGTACTTTTTTTGGGACTGCACGCTTATCAGCATTATCAAATAAACAATTTTCGACATGAAATCAAGATTTTTTTAGAAATTTTCGAGCAAACTCTTTGCTAGAAAAAATTAGCATCCGTCGGAAGTTGCGGTAGCCTATATAAAGAAACAGAGAGAGAGAGAGAGAGAAAGAGAGAGAGAGAGAGTGTGTGTGTGTTTTCATTATTTTTCATCGCGGTTGGGCGAATTATGCAAAGTGAACAATACCATAGGATCAGACGGGGCCAGGGTTGAAAAGTCGCGAAGCGGCTTGCAGCCCTGGTCCGTTAGTTAACATCGGCCAGCTTCGAATTCGATTATTTTGATCTTCCGACTTAAATTTGCGAAAGAAACTGTTGCCGGCATATTCGGAAAATTTTTTCTCTTCCGGCTGTGCATCATAGCTCAAAATTGTCGTAAACTGCTCAATCGAAATATTGACGATACTGCTGGAAGACCATCTTACTATGGGAAACGGCGGAAAAAGCCCCTATTTATTACCAAGCGCGCATTAATCCAATATATGTTTTAGAGATTTGCTGGTGGGGGTGGTTACGATGAATGACTACGTACGTTAGTTGCGCGAAAACTGATAAAAAAGTCAAGTCCGCGGAGCTAGCCTTCTGAAAGGCGGTGTATTCCTCTCATCTGTACCTGGTGACCTCGGATGACGAAGTCGACGCCAAGACCTGCAATCGCTTCTTGGATATGCTTCCGGCCCCATAGCTCGCCGTAGTTTCGCGGGTTATTGAGCTTGGTCCTAAACACGATCGAAACAATGAGGGAACTGAAAGGATCTCTTTTTGCCCTATGCTATGACAACTTTCTTTGTATGCTGGTTGTTTTCCAACAAAGAGCGTAGCCGAAAATTTACAAAAACTAAAAATTTAATATAGAAAATAGCTGATTTTGTCAAATCTGATTAGTGCGCGGTCATTTCAGGGCCAAAAGTCTCGAAAAATCGCTGACCAACCCCATTTTAGTTTATTTTTGTTTTGTTTGTTTTTTAGGTTTATTTTTGCTTTTGTCATAACTAGCTTAGAGGATAGTGTTTCGTTCCAGAATCAAAAATCTGGGTACAATTTTGCTTCTCTACCAAGTGGCAATTATGTAGTTTCGAAAAAAACAGTGATATTTTAAAAAAATCTACGATATGAACTTTTCTTGGATCAACCCCCAACAACCCCGGGCTGGCGACCCGGAACCGTCAGAGGTTAACCTACTTTTCTCCGACATCTTCTGACGGATCGTTCCAGCGCAGTTGCCTGCTCATTTCGACGTATAGATCCTGCTTCTGGTCCCATCCAGTTGACAGAAGATCTCGCGACAGGTGGTTTGCTGGAACCAATAGCGGCATATGGGCCCAAAGAAGATTCTTTAGATGTGAAAAGACAGACATCGTAAAAATTATTTGGGAATCGATAATTCAGGTTTCTTTCCCATTATCATAGGGGCGAACTGCTTTGCCTAGTCATCAGGAACTGTCCCCCCGCTCTTTAATACAACCCCCTCCCCGGGTGATTGAAAAAATTGCGCGCACCTGTAATACACCCGCCCCCCGAAATTTGTTCTCCATTTTGCACTCACGTGCCAGAAAACGCAAAAAAGGATGAAGTTTATGTCCGAAACTGCGATTTTGAACAATTTTAAGTTTGCTATAGCAAACACCCGAATAGGTTTGGTGTTAAAAACCCACCGATCATGCCGTGCATGCACAGAATCCGGCCGTCAATTAGCCCAACCAGCGGAAGACATTCGAAGAAACCGAGAAGCGCGTCGATTGCGTCCATTTTTCGCGGTTTTTGCTGAGGCTCTTCACCGGTCACGTCTTGTGTTGGGTGGATGTCCGCGCGGTACCCGCGTGCAACCATATGCTCTTGAAAATCGCGGCAAACTTGGTGCTCTTCGTGGTTTCCACGGACGATGAACACCTAGACGAACGGTAAAGCAATTTATTCTGCCACCAATTTGCGGGGGTTCTTTCGTATTATCGGGGGGGAACGAATTTTTGTATAAGTCTAGAAATGCCTCGTAACTTACCAGAACGTGTTTTAACAGTATTTTTAGTAATAGACCAGGGTTGAAACGCCGCTTCGCGACTTTTCAACCCTGGCCCCATCTGAGCCCATGATATCCTGCACATTGCATAATTCGACCGAATTTCGATGAGAAATAATGAAAAATGCTCCCTCCCCGCCATTATATAGGCTGCCGCCACTTCCGGCTTATGCTGATTTTATCCTAACAAAGAGGCTGCCCGATTTTTTAACAAAAAGTGATTTTTAATGTCGAAAATAGCATAATTTGCAAAATCTGATATGCGTGTAGTCATCTCCAGACGATCACGCTCTTAATGGCCTATCATATGTAGCCTCATACGCTTCGCCCCTTGAGATATCCTCCGGACACCCTGACGGAAGTTTCCCGTTTTCCCCTATAAACTTCCTTCTCCTCGATAGTGCGAAAGAACTGCTGCGGGGTTTTTTATCCACGCCGTGCAATTTGTTGTGTTTCATTTCGTTCGTTCCGTTCCGGATAGAGGTTCAGCAGGGCGACATTTTGACAAACTAGGCACATTCATAGGACTTCCGGGAGTAGGGGGAGGAGGGTAAAATGGACCCTTACCGAAAAATCAACCCCTCCTCGTGCAAAGTCAGCCAAAATCCAAAACCTGTTGGGGGTCGTGCATCTTGTACGCCATAATCAGGATCAAGCATTCAAGTTGACGGGGGCCGCGATCGACGATGTCTCCGAGGAACATGATGCTTAAAAGGTCGTTGGCGAGAGGACGGAAAAAGGCTTGGCACAATTATTCCCCGGCCCATTTTTTTGACACCATCTGGAAGAGCATGGTCCAGTTAGTAGGATAGCAGTATTAACGAATTTTAAGCGTTAAACTGTGGGGTTAAATTGGCCGCCAAAGTTGCCAACACCAAAAATTTATCCCGAAAGTCGCCTGACGAAATTGGCTGAAACTTTCGGGAACACGTTTTGAAATATGGGGATTTTTCTACTACATTGCAAAGCACGAAAATGGCCGGAAAATGGTTCAGTCACGTACTCGACATTAGGGTTTTTTTCCGGAACGTTCCGGAGCTCAGAACATCCGGAACCAAGACTTTTTGTATTGGCAACTTCAACCGGCGCTTTAACCCGGAAATGTCTCTTTGAAAATTCTTAAAATACTGCCATCCTAATAATTTGACCATGCTCTTCCAGTTGGCGTAAAAAAAGGAAAGAAAAGAATTTCGAAAGCTACTTTTGGCCGGGCCCTCCGTCAACCACATCCGACAGCCAAGCATGGATAATGCGCCAAAGGTCGTTGAACTGGAAACGAAATAGACGGTATCACAATAAAAAAAACATCCGCCTGTAACTCGATGCTGATGTATTGGTTGGGAAAGATAGTTACAGCATTCGAAAGATTCGAAACGGCGAGTTGGCAACAATCTTCAAAACCATGTTTTTATTGAAATGCGCCATTTTACAACGCATTTGAAACATTAAGGAACGGCCACTGCACCTAATTAACGGCACCCTCGAGCGATTTTGCCTGGAGACATCGAGGCAACCCCGAAAAACAGTAAATTGCCACAAAATTGCATGGTGAAATAATAGTGAAATCCAAGCATGGTTTTGAAGATCGTGGATTTGAAGATGCTCACATTTCCATGAAGGTCACCGACGACAATCGTCCGCCCCTTCGGCCTCGCCACGCTCTTATCCCGCTTCACCATTTCGCCCAATCGTTCGCACAAGATTTTAATGTGATCCCCGGACGGGTTGTATTTCCGAGCTGGAGAAATTCGTTTTAATCGTTTCGCAATTTTTTCGGGCGGCCGGTGAATCTGGTGAGTACTACTCGCGCTGTGTGCTCGTGTGAGATTTCCGGTCTACAGGGTGTCCCACAAAAGGAACCATCTGGGATTTCGCCGTGTTACATCCAACCCGTCCCAAAATTGGACCAGCGTTCTATCAGACCCTAAATATCACCAATCCTGAGTCATACCCCCCTAGCTCCAGTCGTTCTGCAGTTATCACGAAAATACTGTTTTTCCCGTAATTCTAAACATTTTTTCGGCTATCTTTTGGACTTTGCATCGATTTGCTTCGACTTCCTGTTGCGAATCTCTAATTTCGCTTAAGAACGTGGGTAATTTTGCGTTGTAAAATCGGCTTAAATCGAAGCTGATTTGTTGAATTTCAGCCCGGAGGCTTGCCAAATCATTTCACGATAATGTTTATGGGGTCCTAATTCCACGGAACCCCATGAAAAATGGACAATAAAGTTTATTTTTGTTATAAATAGAAAACTAGGTTCTGTTCTATTTCGGGGATATGCTGCGCGGAACCTTCCATCTTTTCGCTATTTTCTTGGGATTTTGCAACGCCATTCGATAGAGCGTCAAAAAAAAACACTAAGAGTTTTTAATTTCATTTATAACTATTGTTTTATACGAAATAGTTATAGCAAAAACAAGGTTTATTGGGTGTTTCCACATGGGATCGTGGGAGCTAGTTTTCGACATTTTCGATAACTTTCAAAATTTCTTTAATAAAAATTTAAAAATTTCTTTAAAAAATTGCTGTTCGATAGAGCGTCGAAGATACTAAGAGTTTTGATGACAACTCAAAATAGCATCATATAAAGAGAGTTATAACAAAACGGAGAAAATCCCCCGCACAGTTTTCCCCCCACGCGAAAATAGAACAGTACCAAACCTACTATAACGACGGGAATAGGAGTCTGGATTGTTGTTGATAAGGGTCTGATACACCTCTGGTCTAAATTTGCGGCCGATTGGATGG